ATGATCCAGAAAGCTGATGGCTCTTGGGATGAACCCACCGCTCTGGAACGCGAGCGCGCTATGGGCTTCATGGACGGGACCACTCACGTCTGTCCCTCCATCTCTGAGGCGGATCGGCGACGGATCCTGGGAAGCACGATGGACATGCACAGCCTCCACTTTCTGGTTGGCAGCATCCACTGCTTCCAGGCAGCCTTTTTCACCGATTGACGGTTTGCCCGGCGCAACGAACTCGAGTCAGAGCGTTGTGACCGAATAGACGACGGCACTGTTACGCCAGAACGAGTTGCCAAGTTCGTGCAAGATGGCCTGCTGCGCCACCGCAAGCTGCGCACCCCTGCTGACCCTAGCACAGCCTCAGGAATTTCACTTGAGCTAGGGGGGGAAGAGTAGGAACGCCGTCAGAAGGAACGGCTCCGAGGGAACCTCCAGAATCGAGGCCTTCGAGTAAAATTCGGGAGAACGCTTCTTGCGAGAAGACCCTGAATGAGATGCCGTCTGAGTCAGCCCTGAAAGAGGGGCATCAGGACGAAGATGGGAAGAAAGCTAGCCGCTTGAACGGCAAGCCTCTGCATGATCCTCTGGAGAAAGCTACCGAGAAGCAGCCCCAGAGTGAGAATAGGCACACCGCGCAGGAGAATGCACCCAAAGTGGAGCCCCTGAACGCGCCTCTGGAGAAAGCTTCTGAGTCGAAGCCCCAAGGGAAGCCTCCGGAGAAAGTTCCAAAAAACGGATTCCCTCCGGCCCAGAACGGCGAGCCATCGCCTGTTGTGGCAGACCCCGATGATGAAACACCGCCTCTCGTCGATGATGAGGACGAGTTCGAACCGGATGATGAACCGCCGCCCCTCGTCGCTGAGGAGGACGCGTTCGAAACCGAGTGGGACATGGGGGATCACCTTACTCCTTACCAGAAGCGCGAGCTTCAGAATCTTTTGGACGAATTCCATGACGTGTTTGCACGCAGCATGTCAGAGATGACGACCGTCCGGGGGGAGAAGTTCTCAATCCCGGTCACTAACGATACGCCGATCTTCCGGCATCAGTATCGGTTGTCACAATCGGAGAAGGAGAGTCTGAATGAGCACATTGAGGAACGCATCAAGTGCGGATTCATTCGACCGTCCTCGTCCCCATGGGCCTTTCCCACAACCATGCCTCCTAAGAAGGATGAGCACGGTAACTGGACGCTTAAACGGCCATGCGGAGACTATCGCGAGCTGAACAAAGTCAGCGTCACGGATCACTACCCGTTGCCCACGCCTGAAGAGATCTTTGATCAACTCCAGAGCGCCACGTGGTTTACCACGTTGGACCTTCGTTGGGGCTATCACCAGGTCGCTATCGATGAGAAGGACTATTGCAAGACAGCTTTCTGGGGACCTCGGGGACTCTATGAACGGGTCGTGATGCCGTTCGGCCTGAAGAACGCCCCGGCCTTCTTTCAGCGCATGCTGGATACCACCTTGCGGGCTCAGTTCGAGTTCTGCCGCTGCTACATTGATGACCTGATCATCTTCAGCAAGTCGTTCGACGAGCACTTGGTGCACTTGCGAGCGGTCTTTGAGCAGCTGCACCGCAAACGGATTCGGTGTCATCCGCCGAAGAAGATGAGGCTAGCCGTGTCAGATGTCGAGTACCTGGGCCACTTCGTGGTACCCAACGGTACCGCACCGCAGCAGGCGAAGGTTGAGGCCATCGTCAAGATGCAGGCACCACATGACATGCCCACGCTGCGCGCCTCTTAGGCACTGCCGGCTATTATCGGCGCTATGTGCGGAATTACTCCCGCATCGCTGAGTCTCTAAACCGCCTCCTTCAGAAGGACGTGCCATGGGAATGGTCAGCTCAGGCTCAAGAAGCCTTCGAGCAGTTGAAGGTCAAACTGACCGAGGCGCCTATCCTCAGGCGGCCCAACTATGACCTGCCCTTTGAGCTGCACACTGATTGGAGCAGCGCCGGCCTGGGCGCCGTGCTCGCTCAGAGAGACGAGGAAGGCAAGGAGTACGTGGTCGCGTACGCCTCTCGTAGCAACAATCGGACTGAGCGCAACTACTCCAGCTATCATGGAGAGTGTCTCGCCGCTGTCTGGGGAGTCCAGATCTTCCGCTGGTACCCCTATGGCCGACACTTCACGCTGATCACGGATCACGAGCCTCTGAAGTGGCTGATGACGAACATGAGGCTCACAGGAATGCACGCCCGCTGGGCTAACATCCTTCAGGAGTACGAGTTCGAGATCGTTCACCGCAGTGGTCTCAAGAATCTTGACGCGGACGGGCTCTCACGCAACCCGCTCCCCTCAGATCATGACCCGACCGATGCTCGGATGGATCACACTCCTAGTGACGTCTCTCACATCTCGGCCTGCTTGGCTCGCCTGGCTGTCGGATCCGATAACACTCCGTCACCCATGCCGGCCCTCATTCCAACTGCTCCTGAGCGCGAACCGCCTGAGGTTGATATGCCAGTCAAGCTTGACCGCGACATATGGCATGATGCCCCCGTGATCGAGTTCCTGCGGGACGGTACCTACCCACCTGATGCTTCGAGCCAGGTTCGGGACCGCATCTGGCACCGAGCCCAGGGCTATCACTTCGAGCACGACCTGCTGCGCAGGCGTGTTGACGGCGGTGGGTCAAAGATTGTGCTCAAGCCCGACCAGCGCGCGAACCTGATTCGCCGAGTCCACATGGACATCGGACACTTTGGTGTCAAGAAGACCTACTCACTGCTCGAGCCCACATACTGGTGGGTCGGCATGTACGGCCAGGTCGAAGTTGAGGTCAGCTTCTGTGTCGTCTGTGACCGTGTCAAGGCCACCTTCGAGGTGAAGGATCCCACGCTGAAACCGCTGCCAATCATGGGCATGTTCTACCGTTGGGGCATTGACTTGTTCAAGATGCCAGTCAAATCGACTGCCGGCAACGAGTACGTGGTTGTGATGATCGAACACTTCAGCAAGTGGATCGAGATCTTTGCCATACCAGCCAAGAAGGCTGAGTACGTTCGCGAGAAATTCATTGAGGTCCTGGCCCGCTTCGGCGCGCCAGTAGAGGTCGTTACTGACCAAGGCTCAGAGTTCGAAGGCTTGTTTGCCGAGCTCCTGATTGCCCTGTACATCGACCACTGCATCTCGTGACCACGCGCAGTCCAACGGCCTGTCTGAACGGATCGTTCAGATGATGAAGAAGGCGTTGCGAAAATACTGCGTGCTGTACAACCGCACCCAGTGGGATGCATTCCTACCTTGGATCATGATGGGTTACCGACTCAGCCGACACACGTCGCTAGGGGGATACTCGCCGTACTACCTGCTGTACAGGCGCCACCCCGTTGTGGGCATGCGCATCCGGGACATTGTGAGCGAGCCCATCGACCTCGACTCACCCGTGACAAGCGCCAGGATCCTGAGGGACCGCGCTGAGTTGTTCAAGACGGCCATGCCTATGGCGTTTGACAACCTGCTGATTGCCCAACACCGTGACACCGAGCGTTATGCCGTTGTCCGGTCTGGCGACTTCAAACCGAAGATGAAACGCTTCGAGGAAGGGGACTATGTCTACCTCCGGCAACAATCCAAGGACACCATGGAACTGGCCAAGGGCCGTATAATCCTGCGTGTGAAGCAGCTGCTCGGCACTGGCCGCCTGCTCCCGGAAGGCCGCAGTGATGGCAAGACTATCAAAGATCATGTTGAGAATTGTGCGCCCTGCCACAATCCGAACATCGATCCATGGCAAAACCCAGCTTTCGCTGAGGACAAGGACCAAGCCTGCGAGGTTTGCCACGATACGGCTGCGAACCGACGCACCGGGCCCATGCTTCTGTGCGAACACTGCGATTCGGGCTGGCACATGAAGTGCCTGACACCGCCCATCAAGAAGCGGCCCAAGGGCGATTGGTTCTGCCCGCGGTGTCCTCTCAACCGCCCTCAGATCTGAGGCGTGTTGGCATGTACCACACTGTGACTCCCTGGTTTCCGCTCAGTCGGGACGACTTCGCCCAGTAGGGGGGAGGGATCATAGATGATGTGTATGATGCATATGAGTGACATGAGATGCCATGTATTTTTCTTTCAGCCGAGTGCGCCGAGACTTGTCGGGTATGTTATCGACATGTTACCGCAACGACCCAGGACCGCGTGACAGCTGTCATGCCGTGATCTATCGTTGTTGTAAGGGCTCGGCCCTAAGCTAGTTTTATTCCCCGCGCCTAGTTCATGCCTGCCGCTCTAGGGTGATCCCTCTGAGCCTGAGCTTCAGCACGTGGCATATCTGCTGAAGGCGTGCGCTTGATATTTGCGCGCGGCCGTTACGATTATATTTCAACCGTATGACCACATATTTCGGCGGTTGATAACCGCGTCCAGCCACGGCGGTTATGGCGACATCGACTCCATGCGACTTGTAGACTTCCTAGGCTAGCTGTAGACTCAGACTACCAGTTTAGACTTCGCGCGATACCACTAGACCGTAGTGACTCGACTTCGACTCTAGACTCGACTCAGATATTCCGACGACAGCGAGTATAACCTAGGAACATTCGACTCATTCGCCAACTTTGTGCGAGTTGTGTTTTGGAGACATCAGCGCTCCCTTGTGACGATCAAGGCCGGTCGCCCTTGCATCCTCTCACCTGCATGACTTAGCACCTTCAAGCGCTTTGACGCTTCCTCCCGCTACGTTTGCCTGCTGTTTGCCACCCCCTGTGTGGGATCATAGATGATGTGTATGATGCATATGAGTGACATGAGATGCCATGTATTTTTCTTTTAGCCGAGCCTCGCCGAGACTTGTCGGGTATGTTATCGACATGTTACCGCAACGACCCAGGACCGCGTGACACGTGCTTAACACCGGCTGGCAAACATGCAAAATGACTGCGTCTCGGACACTAATTTGCGTTCATGCAATAGGCACTGCAGCTAGGTTGAGTACTATATACTAGGTAAGATACACGTGGTTACGTTCAATACGGGAAGGTCATATGCGCCGCGGCGGGGCAGCCGCGACGAGCAAAGAATTCAAGCCTGCTGCGGCAAGCACTGCATGAGTTCCTCACACACTGACATGAGCAGTGATGTCATTCGGAGCTGCATGATACATATATTCAACCCTCCCATAACTCAGCGTATCATTCCGAAGTTCTTCAAGTTCTAGAGGTTAGACACCGTATTTCTTGAACTTCGGCTATAACCCAAGGACTCCGCCGCCGCTGTTTATTGAAAACTTACCACTAAGTCGAAGCAAGTAAATCTATGAAGCTATCTTCAAACATCGATCTTGCCATCTATTTAAGTTGCTCTTGGCAAACCTTAGTACGTTCCGTGCGAACTTGGCGAACACGCGTAATACTGCATATAATTGCTAAATTTGCACGCATACTATGATAAGTGCGTCATGGGATCGGACGGCCACCAGTCGATTGCATAAAAAACGTCATATTCGTCTTCAATTGAGTCCCATTGAACTTCAAGTTCATGCACGCTCGAGATATTGATTTACGGTACCGTACTCAACGCTTCCATAGATCACTATTGCGCGCATGAGCGCCTATGGCCTATTTGGCTACGGCGCGGCGACTATGAAAAGAGACCATCGCCCCGCTAACTCATCAATAGTCTATATGTATGGGTGACTAGCCCGATAAGATATTGTGTAGAATAATTTGTATACTAAGAGGCTGCATGTTGGCACGTAACATGCTGCATGCCTGGACGGTTGAAATAGTTGCGGCCCCCGGCAGGATCGATCAACACGGTTACTCCCAGAATTGAAATCCGTACGTTTTGATTGATCGAGCGCGGCCGCGCACGTGACTCGCGGACCCAGACGGCCGGCCCGCACATGCATGCAAGCCCGACGGCGAGAACTTTGTTGCGCACGCGGCTCATTATATGCTCATATGCGAGCAACACTGCTAAATCAATAGCTTTTGCAAGACTCACTTAGGCTAGAATGAAATGCATGCGATCTTAAGTTAAGTTAGTGACTGAACTCCGTGCCTGCGCTGCAAATCGATTTTGGCTATGCATCGATTGCACCCTCAAGCATCATCTCTTACGTGCCGCGTATCAGTGTACCAGGTAACCACAGGTTGGCCCAACCACTGCCCTAAAATTCAAGTAACTGAGTTTCGCATTCCAAGCCGAGCTTTCCTCTCTACTATGGTCACAACTACCTCTCATCCCTCAAAAACTTTAGCTGTGAGCCCACGTGTGAATCGCGTTGTTAAGCTGTGTCGATCTAGTGTTGAGGCTCTCGTGGATCCACTTGATAAATTCTTTCCCGGCATCCTCGTCGCTCAGGTCTAGCAGGAAGGAGTCGCGCAGGTAATGGATGTCTTCGGGGGACTGGAGCTCGGGGATCCCTGACGAAAGCATCTGCGGAAATGACGGGCAAACAATTCAAAATCTGTGTTCTTTAACGCCTTTTCAGTGAGCAGATTCTTGCAGCCGTTGTTGACGGAGGGAGAGTGCAGCCACCTTTCCTTGGAATGGAGAGTCGCGCTTCGACCGGTTGTACATCTGTTGCTCAGAAGAGTTCACACTTGAGCGCCGGAAGCAAAAGTATCAGCTTGGGCCTGGCCGTCGGTATTCCTGCTAGTCCACACACAGGTCGAGGTCGATTTACAAGCCCTCTGAAAGCGAAGCAAAGGAGAGCACCTCTGATCCCAGGTCAAACGGCGATCGCGACGTCTTCTTTAAGAATCGCAGCGATCAGCCTCCGGCTCTCCGATTGATTCATTCTTGTTGGTTGAGGCCACCAGTTAGTTTGATCAAAATTAACTCAGGTCAGTGTCTGGGAAGCAGGAAACATGAAAGGGCTCAGTATTTTCTAGGCAGGCAATCAATTAAGAAAGCACGGAACACCGGAACAACGGAACGGCGAAACGACGACAGCTCACCAGGGCGAAGAGATTGATGAAGAGGTCCGCCTCTTTGCGTAGCACGTTGAACGCCTGCGCGCACAGCTGCTCGAAGCGCTTGAACCGCTCGCCGCCGACGCCGCCCATGACGTAAGCAAAGTCTGGCGTAAACTGCGGACAGAAACAAGGAGTGACGTCAGGAAAGCTTGGGTTCTACCGCGAAGAAGCGGTCGAACACATTCCGACCGTGGAAGTGAATGCAATCAGCACTTGAGGGGACAATCTGGAAGGCAATCTCTATCTGAGTCAAAGTCCCCGTTCATTTTGATTCTGGTACACTCGTAGAGCGCCGGCGGAACAAGTACCGGTCTTGTGCGAAAACCTAAATGGGCTGAGTCCTCTGCTATACACTTGTGCCAAGCCGACCTATGAAGAAGGACTGGGGCGCTTCGCCAATCAAATCCCCTAAGAATCATGGCTCTGTAGACCAGAGCAGTCTGCCGCTCTATTCCTCACAGTATTGCCTATCGTGCGCGAGTTCCCGACAGAACCTTTGTATCCGGGACACAATCACTTGAGGGGTCCTACAACTGTTGCCGGAAAAGAACGAACCAAGCCAGTACAGCTTCTCCCTCTCCCACCAATCGCAGGAAACGGCGCATCTTGACTTGGTAAGACTGGCCGGGCACTTACCACAAACTTTGCACGCTCGCGCCGGAAACCAAACTTGCTCTTGAAGTTGCCCAGGAAGTGTCCGAAGTCGATGTCTGAAAGGCGCGAAAACACAGGACACGTCAGCTTTGAGATGCCACGGAAAGCCGCGGTTGCTTGTCTATTGTAGAGGGACGGACAAAAAAGGTACTCAAGATAACGGCGGTACGGGCGATGGTAACGACTTCTGGTGTGTCGCAATAAGCCGCCCGAATAAACTCTGACCGCCTTGTAGCTTTCGTATAACCAATTCCAAAGACACAGGACATTCAACGATGAGGATTTAAGGATTCCCAACCTGCCTACACACCAGCGTCGTTGTGGTGGCTGCTCTGCCGACCGATTGGCAAGGGGCGCAGCCAAGTTTTGCAACAAGCAGTATGACGTGACATCGGCGTGATCGGAGCAAGCTCCAATCAGCTTTGCATAAAGTGATTCAGTTGAGCCGGTCAACAGTTAATATGTTTGTAGCAGGCAGGCTGGGAGGAACGGGGCTGAAATCTGACTGTGAACCCGGACCCAAAAAGGCTGCTAATCTCATGCGCATGCAAAAGAAAGTCCATCTGTGCCGCAACCGGCGACTTACGGAAAAGGTAGCCCGTCCGCTGCAACATGATGTTGTCATTGTGTCGGTCGCCAATCCCGAGCACACACGTGGCGACGCAGTAGCCCGCGCAGGAGCGGGTGAAGTTCTCGACGGCCTTCGCGTTCTTCTCCGCTGCACAGAAAACGCGTCTAGGCAGATTCAAGGTTTGCAGGTTGCTTGTAGACCGAGATTCTGATATGCATCGCGCACACTTGTTAGGGCCGCTGGGAAAAGCGAGATAAGACGCGGCGTGAATGCGGCACGAATCAAACGTCGAACGGGGGACGCGGCCTGTTCAATATGGCAAAGTCGTGCCTTTGCCGGAAGTGTCATTGGGTCGACCGGTGTAACGTTCCTACCCTGACAAATGTAGCCGCAAGCGCACCAAAACACCTTCAAGAGCGCTCCGTAAAAGCACGTCTGTTGATTGCATATTGCGTCTTAGCGACTGGACCACAAAAATCAGCAAGCAATCGGCCGGTAAAGTGCAGACTTCCAGGAGAGCAGTGTGGCGAGGTCGTTCTACTCACGTGTCGGGTTGTGCTGCTTTAGCCAGTTTGCGATGGGGTCCTCACGGAAGCACGCCGAACTTCCCCCAGCAGCCTGCAAGGACAGCAAAGTTTGATCGCGGACTTTCGAAACCCTGCTTCCTAGATAGCAAGCACGGCTTGGGTCAGAGGCCTGATAATATACTCGGCTGTCCCAAGTTCGGCGCCCTTCTTGTTGTGAAGGCAAACCGTGATTATGAACGTATTTGTGAAGTCCAGTTCATCAGCCTCGCTAAGAGGCGAGAACAGCTTTGCAACCCCACACAAAAGCCAACTTCCGCAAACGGGTCGCCTCGTTTGTTTTTTCCCGTGATTCTTGCCTAGGAAGCTAGGAAGAGCCAGGAAAGCCTCCTTTCAACTTATAAGCCGTAGAAGGCCGAGATAAAAGCTGCAGAAGCTGCGGCAAGTCGACAAACCCGAAGTTGCGTTGACGCATGCCGTTTCGAGAAGATCTTGCTGACGTCGTCGCCTCGTTGACCAGGCCGATCGATGATTAAGTCGTCGTTCCGCTTAGTGAGAGTGACAAAGCTGCCGCTTCTATGCGTCGAGTCCGTTCTGACCTTGCTGATTGCTGACGTCGTCTCCGCATTGAGCACGACCTGCAGCATGCCCATCTCGTCCCCGGTCGCCATGCAGCTGTACGCGTTCAGGCCCAGGTCCAGCTCGTTCTGCTGCCACAGCTGCGCAGGAAGAATGGGCACGTAGAGGGTCAGAACAAAAGGCGTTCTGCCTAAGCATCGCCTGCGAGACTTGCAGAAACCGTTGCTTGCTCTGCGGAGGCGCAACTTGTAGTCAGTGTCCGAAGTTGTTCAGACTAGGGCGTTCTGTTGTTACACCTACATCGGAGAAGCATGCAATGATTGGAGCTCGGCACGTTTTAGTATCGCTTGCAGCATATGCGGGTGCGTGTGCCAGGAAGTTTCGAGTGCCAACAAGTCGTCACCTTCCGTCGTGGAAATCCGCCCGCTGCGCATCTGGTTGCGAACCCGAAGGTGCCAACCGGAAAGAACTTTGTCCGTACACAGCAAACTGCTGCCACCCGTTGGTGCTTAAAAGTAGAATGCTTGCTTGACTTTAAGGGACTGAGACACAATCCGCTCATATGGATCCCATCCTTTCGAGAGAAGGTAAGCGTTCAGCTGTCTGATCTGCGCCCACGGCATGCTTTTGGTGCGGAAAAAACCGGAAACTTGTCAGCATGCGATAGCCGAGACGGCTCAAATATGCCGCAAAATCTGATCCCTATCCTCCTGGTGCAGAACCCTTCGGCCCGCTCCCCTCACCTTGTCCATGATGCGGATCATCTGCAACGTCAGCATGTCCTGGCGCAGGTCGTCCCCCGACTTGAAGATGACGTAGATGGGCGCGCCCTGCGGGTCCGCGTTCTGAAACACCAGCCACAGCGGCAGCTTCTTCGAGTCCATGAACTTGCACTTCTCCACGATCAGGCCCGACACTTCAAATCTGCAAAAGCAGTTAAAGTTTAATGATTCTTCCAATTAATTGCTGAAGTATCCCCCCCTTGAAGCGCCAACAGCATATCTTGCTTTCATCGAAAGTATGCGCTCGCCCTTCCTGGAACTTCAAAATCCAGGAAACATGGGGCCCTTAAACCCGAGGATGAACATCCTGAACGGCAGCAGCCCGTCTTAACTCAAAAGGAGTCTACATGTACGATCTTGGTGTCAACTTTGTGCGCAGCGCTCTTACACACGAACACGGAGAAGCTGGAGAAAGAAGCTTTGATTCTGTCAGCGTCGGCCTTATCGATTCTGGTACGTCAAAAGACACGAAAAAACAGATGACGTCACCTACATCAGGTCCAGCTAGTGGCGACATGATCTTGGCCTGGAAAATTCTTCTCGCGCCGTGTTGCTTCATCAACCTCTGAAACCCTCCTGACTATCGATCTCGGGACCCGAAAAGCCCTGGTGACGTCACATTTATGCTTGAAGCCACGTGTCCCGACACAATTTTGGCCGCCGTATGATCTGGTCCTAAAGTGCAACCTCCGTTACTATCTTCTGAACCAGTGCTCTGAGGTTACTCTTTATCTTGATACGAATGCCTTCTTTTGCTCCAGCGAACTTTTCCCTTCGCAGAAGCCCTACATTCAAAATTCTGCGACCAAGAAAACCTTAAAGTGCTGAAGTCACTCACCTCGGATCCAAGGGTAGCATGACCTTGTCTGGGAACCGTATCTCCGCGAGCATCTTCCGGATCAGCGCCATCCGCTCGCTCTCGCCCTTGACGGCCTTGATCGCGTCAGCGACGGCGCAGAGCTTCTTGACGAGCTCGCACTGTTTTAGGAACTCTTTCCGGATTGAAGACCCACAGCAGCGCAGGTAGGCCGCGAGGATGAGGCTGTAGCGGTCTTTGATGGTGGGCACGTGCAGTTCGGCCTGCAAGGAGATAGATCGGTCTTAACGTGCCTTCCGAGAACGATCCGAGCATTCAGGTGTGGTGTGCATGCTGCGGAGTGTATTTTGTCGTATTCGAAACGCACTGAGCGTCGAAGGCCGTCAAATCTGGTACATCGAGAACGGGTAATCTCGGTGCATGCCGGGAAATCTGGGCAGCTCGAGCCGCGTTACACTCACGCGGGCCGTAGTTGTACTACGACATCTCAGAATCATGCAGGCCCTGCAAAGGTTTCAGCGGAGCAATTTGGTATAACAAGGGCCTTACCTGCAGGTGCCAGAAGAACTGATGTCCGATGGTTCTATTCCCGACCGCCCGCTCGAGGAGGAACTGGGCCACCTCCGAGTTGTGGTACGCCTCGTACTTCAGGACCTGGACACGTGGCGCGATCGAATTTGCTCCAGAACAACGAGAATTATGTATCAGCAAAGCTAGCGTCAAAGCCGCCGTAACAACGCAGAGGGTCAGTGAGACCATGTTGCAAGAGCTTTGAAGTTGGTTCCAAACCCTCTAAACGTAACTGTCTCAGCAGACCTACCGGTCTTCACGTAATGAAGGGTGACGGTGAATTCATTGCGTCAAAACGCTCTCAGAACTAGTTTGCACGGGCGAGCGTTTCCAGTGAGCCCCATATCAGCCGGGCAAGAACTCTGTTGAAGTGAAGAGACAAGAGTAAGATTGATCGACCTGCACGAGTTGCAGCACGTAGTTCTGGAGTTGGCTGTCGTCCAGCTCCCGAAGCCGGCTGACTGCGTACTTCCGAACCTCCGGGTCCGCAAACTGTGCGTTCAGGAGCTGCAATTACCAAAATAAATGGTCAAAATCTGGCGTTCAGAAAGCACGTTCGGCTGCGAGTTGCATTCCAGGTCCTCGTCGACGGCCTGTACATATCCAGAATGTCGGGGACGATTTTCGATGAAGAGTGTGTACTGCACGATCCCTCTTACGTTTAGCACCAGACCCGGTTCTTTGAGAAACAGTTAAATAGTACATTACTAGGTCTCCCGAAGCCGCACGTTTTTTGAGTTGGTCGCGGAAAATCTCCTCGAAGGCCTAATCCTTCGTCTTTCCGGCTGATCCTATGTTGCGAGCTTTGACCTCGACAACTGTTGACAAGCCTCTCATCTCAAAGTAATGTCTCTAGTTTCAAGAAACTCTCGAGGAACCCAATCCCATAGGAATGATAGCTATCCGTACCTGCAGGGCAGCTAGGGGCGCCGGAACGGCCCACTCCGTCAGGAGTTGCCGCGCTTCGAAAATGGCCTTCCGGTTGGTCCACGGAACGGAATGGATGACCTTGTATAAGGCTCGCACGTTGCTCTTGAGGCTGTTCCGGGCCTTCCACAGCAGGCGCCGCTCTTCATCCGTTGGCAGCGTCAGGACATCTGAGGCGGAACGGAAAGAAGCATGATTAGAGAGCGCGGTATTCCTCTTCCGAAGATACTTTTTTGAACCCGGATGGCCGCATAAGCTTAACGCTCGGAGAAGTCAAAGATAGGAGTTGTCAACCAAAAGACGTTGTACCCAAGCCCAACCCTTTCTCGGATACCTAGCATAGTCAATTGTCCGGTAAAAATGGACAGCCCAGAGACAATCAACCTCAGGCAGGCACCAGCGCTGCCTTTCGGTCATCCATGCAGAGTACTCGTTATCTGCGGACGCCTCTTCCGCCACCCTTCTGTAAGTGAGTGAGCTCCATATATCTCGCTCCTGCCTACAAGTCTCTGAAGTGAAAGGCTTTCAGTCAACTTGACAGCGGCGCTCTTCCCGTTGAATCGCCAGCCGCGAATGGAACAGAAAGAGTAAGTACTAAGGACTTTTAGGTACCTGCTCTGATAGCATCCTGTAGACGGAGGCTCTCTTCCGCTCGCAGGGCTGGCTCCGCTTGCGCCGACGCAAATGGGCTCAAGCCAAACACGCTGCCTGTAAGGCCAGGAAAAAAGCGAGAGCATCAGATCAGTCATAAACTTTAGCATTGTGAGCATCGGACCAGTCACAACACGTCTGATAAGAGTACAGGATATGATTATAACGAGCGGCAGGATCATTTTAGATGCCTATCTGGCTGGTAAGATATGTGGCTCGACTTACAATAATAGGCAGTCGTGAAGCATTCTACCAACCTGGTTAAAAGGCGCGCTTTTTGTTGCCACAAGACAGCCACCACACAACCTTTCCGAAACTGGGTGCAGACGGTACCACAAGGATTGTACTCCTCCCATGCCGTTTCACTAGGCAATGACAGTCGAACCGACTCTTAACATCTCTCCTCTTCTGACAAAAACAGGGCCTATATAACTCAAACGCGATTCTGGCACTTCTTTACTCAACATGCTCAGGCTCGGGTGCTTCCGTGTGCACTTGAAGTGCAGAGCCAACGTTCCTCGTTTGACGCCTCTCTGCCTTATGCTCTACATTTTGCAGCCAACCTGGAATGGTTTGGTCCAGATTCGGCGGGCAAAGTCCAACGCAGAGCCGATGCCCCTCACCTGATGCTTTCCTGCCTTCAATGGCCGGCACTTCGAATGGCTCCGGCGCGACTCTGGCGCTCTCCTGAGAGAAGATGCTTGGGAGCGGCGACTCGTCGAACTGGACGTACATCGCCCCGGGGCTGTCGGTGCCCGTGTTGTCCATGCAAGTACCTACAGACGGAGCAAATCGATCTGCTATCACCACGTATGAAAAGAAGAGCTCTCCAATGTCGGCTGCAACCCTCGTATGAGCCTGGCCGTAAAGGGAGACTTTTAGGATACAATCAAGCGCTCACGAGAGAAGCCAGGAATGGATCGCTCAAATCTGGAGTGACATCGTTCAAAAAGGTGAACTTCTGGCCTGTCATGATGAGGCTGTGTCTGCGAGTGTGCAGCTGCGAAATCAAGGTGACACCGACTCAACAGGAAGCTCATCCTCTCTAAAATCTGATGCATGAGGGTCAAGGCGTCTTTCTGTCTGGCTGCTTATGACAGCCATAGCAGCTAGTGACCTAACCTCAAAGACGATGAGCGTGGGCTCGCGAGTCGTCTGAAACTGAACGACCACGAGGCTTGGCAGGTTTGCTCAACATACTTCGCACAGGCTTCTTCTCTATGGTTGCGACACTTGGAACAATGGACCACCCACCAAACGCAACAGCACACAACCACTCTGAATCTTTTGCTGACGGTACCCACCCTGACCCCTTGTAGTATTCTGCCCTGTCTCCGGGCACAACCTTCCTCCTAAACTAACACGATATTGCATTCCGATACTCTTAGATGTTCGGAATGCCCTCGCTGTTCAAGGTGCGACCTAGTTTCTTCTCCATGAAAGCGGCGGCAGCATAGGGAAAGGACAACTCACCGATTGCGTTCGCCGGCCCGTCGGGCCACAGCCGGAGCTTCTTCTTGCCGGCGACGAGCATGCCCTTGTGGTCCATCAGCTGCAGGTTCACCCACCCCAGGGGCGTGTCTTTCGCGCTGGACGAGCTGCCCGCCTCGCGGTAGAAGAGCGAGAAGCACAGCCGGGTGGCCTGCAAAGTAATGGACTCCATCAGTGTATTAGAAAGGGATGCGCGGAAAGGTTCCATCAATATTAAGAAGCGGAAGAACGGCGATCCTCGTTCTGGGCGATCGTTGAGCTGCCACCTCACCGGCAAAGAACGAGAAGCACAATTGTCTGGCTGCAGGGCAGAAAAAAGTGAGTGCCTTGCTTAGCGGGATACGATTTGGCGGTACGAATGAAAGACAGCGTAGGAGGTATCCGACTTCATCTGCTGGTAAGACTCGGAAAGCGAGAAGCAGCCGAGTCGCCTGCAAATGTGATCGAATTCGCACTGATTGCGCTGTAGGGAGTCTCCGCCCGGATCATATCAGCGCATCTTAAAGAAGGCCCTTCATAGAAGAAAAGGTTGTCTAAAAGAGCTAGCAACAAGGTCGCTCTGACTAGACTGTCTGTTACGCTTTACCAGATTCTCCTAGGCGCCTCACCTGAGGGAGAGACCCGATGGACAGCGGGAACGTGAGCCACTCGTTCCAGCGTGGCGTCGCACAGCTGTACGTCAGGCTCGTTTGCAGCAGGCACTCGTTGGTCAGCGTTTCGCCGCCGTAGAACAAACCCGCTGTTATAAACATGCCGCCCGTAAAGTTCTGGATGCCGAGCTTCCTGAGCTGGGACTCCGCGCCCGAGACGAGGACTTCACCGACCTTGAGCTTGAACTGAAGCTTGAGCAGACTTGAGGGGATCGCCTGTGAAAAAAGATCTGGGTCGTGGTAGAGGTCTTCCAACGAGATCAGGCTGTGGAACTTGAGAGGTGACTGCAGGCTTCTAAGCATTCGCAAGTTGGCTCGCACGGTGAGGGAACCGATGCAGATGGAAAGAAGTTCAAAATGCAGGGAAGCACTCATTGCTGAAGCTTCTCTTCCCCGACCAGGCTGCACCGCAAGGGCCCAGATATTGTAAAAACCCGTCCCTTGGAGAAATCTACTGCAGGCACCGTTCTACCACCGAGCAGCATTTGGGTGCAATTGCAGATTCTCTACCTTACCTGCCACTCTGTCCAAGGAATCAAGAAGGACGGCTGGATCGGATCAGGGGCGACGGCGGGCTGCAGAGGCTACAGAAATGTTAGCAACGCTTGGCAGCCAATTTCTAATGAAAGCAAAGATTCAAAGTGGCACAACCTGGTCTGCTGCCCGACTTTATGGGCCTGCTTGCAATGAAGCTTTGCAGTGGACGCCGATACAAGAATCCGCCCACAGATCAGCTTGGATCGTGCACAGCGACACCTCGGAATGGCTGTCTTATATCCGAGTCATGCACTGCAGCTGTCGTACACTCAAAGATGCTGGGGGATTGACAAATGGGTTCAAAGCGTGCTAACCTCTCCACTGTTGGCTTCCTCGTCTTCCAAGATTGAAGGTATTTTTACCAAGCCGACGATGCCAGGCTCCTTGGCACTAGCGGCATGCTGTATAATCCTGTACCCGTAAGAAGGAGGTCAGCGATTCGCCTGCATCCAATAAGCTGCGAAGGAGCAAGTTTCGTCGAGGTAATTCACGTAGTGACGGGTTTGGGAATGCAACAAGTCATCTACCTCTGATCACCGTTAACTTCAAAAGTGCAATCAAGACACGGTAACCGTGAATGCAGCCTCAAATACTTTGACGATACAAGCTTGTCAGAACCTGACGCGGAACTGGTGATTCTCTGTCTGGTCTGCCAGATGTTCTGAAAGCCAGTGGGATATTTGCTCAAACAAACTCGGCTTACTTGTAATCACCAACGAGAGCGCGACTTCCGTTTCTAGTATCTGCGTACACGTTCAAGCCACCCTACAGAAGAGAAGATAGCCTCTTTTAGTTCCAGGACCAGATACTAGTCGTAGAAGGCTTATATTGGCTGAAGAGGACTGAACGCCTTACGTGGATCACAAGCTCAGGAAGATGACTTAAAGCAGCGAACGTGAAAAGGAACACAGGCTCCTTTGCAAGATATGTGCATGTAAAACGCTCGTTTGAAGCTGACTATGTCTGGTCGAATACAACACTTTTACTTTTACTTTGCTGAATTGTTGGCTGTTACGATCGTGGCGCAGTTTACAGGAGTCGGACCTCACCAGTTTCAGCGCGAAGCTGCTTGCGTCTTGCGAAGAGCCAAGCTTGGCCGATGCGGCCCAGTGAGCTCTGCACGCCATGTCTCGAAACGCAATCACCGTGTCCTTCGCTGCAAACAAGAGCGATCCATGAACGAAGCTCTAATTGCGAGTGGACAGAGCAGTGCACAAACTACACGGAATCACGGGCTTCGACCGTGAACCAAACCGTTCCATAGGGACTCCTGGCTTGGGATCACGACCAAGTAGCTTTGCCCTTCAGATCAGAAGCAGAACGTTACTATAGCGAAGAGACGCTCGACTCATACCTCTCTCTGGACGTTCGACATAGAGCCCACTCTTCCTATCGACTGGCGCCGAAAGGCACTGCAGTAATATTGATAAGCGAGTTTCAAAACTTACAAGGGACAGTAAAGGTCATGTTGTAGAGCGCGCTGCCGGCGGTTCTTGGATAGCTGCAGCTCAATTCGATGGACTCCGGGCCCCACTTGTAGGGCCCCGTCTCCGCTAGCGGCAGCGTCCAAGTGCCCTTGTCCTGGCTGCTAGATCGGGACCTCGATCTGCGGAACATCGAGTATCTGGTTGTTTGAACAAAGATTCGCCCGTTCTGCTTTGAGCACTCAAACTAGCGGGCACAAGGCGAGTCTTGTTGGCCCCAAGCGGAGTACTAAATCTCAAGTTATGGGTGGATGCTAGACAGCCAGATTGCAGGATCCAATGTCCCTCCTAACGGCAACTCAAGCTAGTTCGTCAGACAGAGTCAGGTGTGTTGAGAAAGACACGGAATGCGCTGACTGACAAAGCAATGCATGTACTGAGCGCCCAATGAATTCAAATCTTGGGGCATCACATCAAAGCCCCCTGAACGAGTGCCCACACCTTGTACGCCGGTTGACACCGTTCTTTCGAACCAACCTTTCAACATCGACTTCCAATTCGGAAGCAGACAAACTACAGTAACAATAAACCACTGCAGATCCTTCTCGACCGCGAATAGCCCTTAGCCCATAGGCTCGCAATTCATTGACGCATAAGCATGCAAATCATCTTAGCCGTTTTAGCATGCGTGTTTGCCTTCGCCTGTACAACTGCATTGGCGAGAAAGCGCGGCGGAAAGAAATGAGTTCAAAAAAGCATTGAGAGAATAGTAGGGAGGTCCAGAACGCTGTAAACCCGGCGTAAGACCAAACCGGATCGACCAGATACGCCTTTCAAACATCAAGAGCTACGGCAGTTATAAGGGGGTATAAGAAGGATTGCAAAGCGTCGTTCAAGCCTTGGTAGCAGACTCAGCCTGAACTGGTGGCACACGTTAGACCGTATTGTGCAAAATGAAACCGGCGTCCCCTGCTACACAAGAACCTTGGGGCGTGGTCAGAATCTGCTGCGGAAAACCATTCTCGCCAAAGCTTCACTGCGACCGTCTCAATGTCTTAGTCAGCTTCCTGACCAGTTGCATCAGCTTACTTTGGACTTCATTGACTCCGCGCGCTCTGAACAAGGCGACACAACAGACGAGAAGGGCGCACACACGACTCGGTGATCAACAATTAAAAACTAAGGGGCCGCCTCAACGAAGAGGAGCAAAATGTGTTCCAGCCCCGCTCCACATGACGCGGCACGGAAGGTGTGCCTCTGCGCAGCTTATGCGGTCGGTGGCATGTTCCACCCGTTTGAATATGAGTGCCTCCGTCGGAAGTGAAGGGTAAAAGTTTAGCGCTGATTACGCATCTGCGCATCCTCTTCTGAGAGCGCAACCTTTTAACTACCTAATCTGGAATGGGAAAGCATGATTCTTTGTCTGGCTTCCAAACACGGCCGGTTTCATTCATGATGCTCAACCGCATCATCCAAGGTACTTGTCATGGCCAGCTTGAGAGTTTCGCTTGTAAGCCACCTCGCTCTTGCAACTTTGTGGGCAATTGCGGCAGCAGGCGATATGGAGCAAGAAGCAAGGTGACACTTTCGGACAAGCCGGTACAGTTGGCCTGGGGCACTCAAAAAACAAAAGGGGGAATCGAGGCTGCCACTTTGCAAGCATCCCCTCGCAAGTTGCTATTCAAAGCTCGCTGTGCAAGGTGCAGTTTAGCAGATTTGCTGGGGCTGAGCCGAAGGATCAGAGGCAGATTCTTTTAGTGGCATTACATGTTCGCTCTTAGATGCTACGAGAGGGGAAACACATGGCGTCAGCGGCCGCCCGTCAGCGTTCTGGACCGGACAACATCTTTGTTGCGATGCTAGAGGCACCAATCGCGACAATCCCGGCTCGTCATTGCCAAACAGGTCGTCACGGCTCGGAAGCCCGGCGGATAGAGATGCTTGAAGCCACAAGCAAACAATTGGGGAGGAACGCTGGCGTCGGTTTCCGAGGGCCTAGTTTGAGGAGCTGCGTCAAGCATCACCTCCTCATGACAGCGCAGTCCTCCTCGCCTCGGGTTTCAAGTATTGAAGATCTGCCATAGCTGTCCAAGATGCTTATACCGTGTGGTGGGTTCCTGGCGCATTCACTAATGTGGCAGTACCAGATTTTCACGGGGATCAGTATCAGGGAACATGACACGCAAAACAAAGCGCACCATTGAGAACACAATCCAAGAAGAGAAGCGCAAACATAGGGTTCAAATACAATAAAGAGAGGATCGCTGAGGATGGCATACTGGATGGTGGTAAGCATAGCCCATCAATATCAACATTGACGCAAAACCGTTTCGCACCAGTTGTTTAGAAAAACCAACCCAATGGACCAGGACTTAAAGGGACTACTTGTCACGTGCAAATCGGACGTCTTTTGGGCGCCTCGGGATTAGCTATGTTGCGGCGTCGCACTGCACGAGCACTCAAATCCTCATCGGCCTTGCTGATGTCAGCAGCTTAACACAATCGAGCCGCTTAAGAGGTTCTTATGTAATATTGCAACTCTGGGGCAAACGCAGATACGCAAGGACTTTCGGAAGCAGGAAGGAACTCGGTACCGGGGAAAGCCCGTCTTCAAAATGATAGGCAAGAGCGGGAAAGTGGCACCGCCTTTGGGACGTGTAGTTGGGCACAGAATCGGCTCATACATCGCGACAAACTGTAAGATATTATAGTCCCCATCGTACGACAGCGTTTTACTAACGAGATAAGGTCGGCAAGCTCAACATGCATTTTGTATGCAGTAAGGTACTTCCTAGCGTCCTTACTGCAACGGCAACAACAGCACCTTGGATGTCAACCCCATATGCAGTCTGGCGCCGACGCACCATTATAATGTCCTCATTGGTCCAGCCGTGCGTGAGCCTTTTTCCCTGAACCAAGATGTAAGTGCTACCTTCGCAAACGTACGTAGAGAAAGCTAAGTGGTAGCTACTTCGGGACTCTGAAGAGCGGCAGATACACATTGATAGTCGCTGAATGCGGAATAGCAAGCGGAAGTACCGTTGAGATATCAAAATGTTTCCAAAGCTTGCTGAGATGCAGTTATTGCAGATTCGTAAAGCAAGTAGGCACCGACCTCCATCGAAGGGCACCGATGTGACGTATCTGCTTGCGAAGCAACAGAGCAACCAAGTCTGCGACCGGTTGCGGACCGCATGCTTGGTGGAACTCCCAACAAATCACCACTTTACGATGCAAACCACGGAGATGGCAAGATGCACTGCCACGATCCCTAAATCCAAATAAGGGACAAAGCGGCAAATCTGCCATTAGCTGCCGCTAGATTTCTGAGGATGATAAGGAGCTCGTGCAAGAGGAGCTGGGTAATGGACGTTACGTGGGTTGCAGCTTTAGTGATAAAAATAAAGATGTTCAGCCTCGGATCTGCGCTTGCCCGAATGACGCATGCACGGGTGCGCCATGATGTAGTAGCAATCATCACGGGCGGCTCACCGAGCACAACCTGGATTAGAAAATAGCCCAGAGAGGGTGCACACAAGAAAGGAAATGGTACGCCAGTCTTCCATGGTCGATTAAGGTCAAGCCTGATGCTCCTTCACCCGGAGTTGGCAACTCCGAGAAACATTTATGTAGCACAATCACGATACCTTTCACGGAAGACGGTGACGAAGAGTACTTCGAACCGCGTAGATTGAAAACCTTAGTTGCTGGAATGAGTAGAGTTCGGCTCATGCTCACAACCCAAGCACATCTGACGCTTCAGAGCGCCAGAGATCATCCTGCGTCCTTGCCATACAGACCGTTTTGGCACTGCCTTTGACGCAAAGTTTGAAGCAGACGGGAAGTAAATGAAAAAGCCACGTGGACCATATGCAATAGTTTCGCGCCCAGAAGCCTGTCCTTTACGACATCGCACAGAGAGCACACCTGAGAACAATCGCTGACAACGGCTATCCGTAGCGAGCTATCAGATACTAATAGCCAACAACTTTGGACGCTCCCGCTTTCTCCAGTCAAACATTCGTAACACCTCGGATGCCTCGGACTGCGCAACATACGACGGTTGGAGGTGGTTGCCTCCGGCGAGCATCGTCATGGGCTCTAAGCATATGAGACAGGGTGAGAGTTGCTCCAGATTTCACCAAGTAAACCTCAAAGCACGTCTAGCTGTCAGTCGGCAAAACATTAACTTCGTAGAGATTGGCCTTAAGCTCTATTGAGGAGACGGGGGCAATGACAGCAGTGCTGACAACGCAGACTCATCATCCGAAACAGAAACCGCGACAGTAAACCGTTCGAACATCGTGGGCAAAAGGCTTCGCAGAATATGGAAGACAATCTCTTCGCCTTGGTGAGAAAATAGGCAAAGTCGGAAGGGAACTACTTTGGATACACGGCTTTGCGGCGCTAAAATCTCCAATCCTAGTGATCTTGGTTGAGCAACCGAGCGATGCTTCAGGAAACTTCAATGGAGGTGACGTTGATTCAAAAACAGTGGCGGCATTCTGGATGAACATTGCATGGCTGTTTCTCCCAGGCAGGTTGAACAAAGACAATCACAGCCGCGAAAAGGGACGACGACGGAATAAGAGGGTAGAAAATTGATGCTGAGGTATAAATCTTGTGATCCAGGAGGCACACGCAGTAGTCGAGATAGGCGGGGCTGCTCTTGATAGGGGGCGCAATGAATAACTTGAAGAGAAACTGGCGCCAAGGCGAGACCACTTCCACCCTCGCCTTCGGATCCGCCTCAGAGAGCCATAGGTCAGTCTTTGACGGACCACAACGTCCAACAATCAAGTACGGCTCGTCATTGGTTGCGGACTTCAAGAAAGAAGGACAGATGCAGAGCCAGTAACCCACACAAAGCAGTTCCGAAAGCTACTTGCTGGAGCGGGGAGGTCATTCATATGTGAGCTCCTAGGGCCGACCACACGTGAGTGAATTTGAAAAGTGTATAAAGTAAGGCCGAAATTGCTGAACACAAGAAACATGGAAACATGAAAACCTTGAGAACCCAAGTCAGCTCTCTGATTGAAAGCGAGGATTTAATGACGTCACGGTACGCAAGGCATTGGCTTGAGAAATGAAAACGGGGTTCCTGCCTGGCTAAATAGTCGGGATCAGTACTCCAGCAGGATGTCGAAGGTTTCATCCACCGACGACGTGCAATAGTTGGAACGCGGAATCCACTACCAAGCTCACATGCTGAGAAGCTAAAGGAACAAGCTGTTGCGATAAAATTTAGTAATCCTTTTGGAAGGATACGCTGTCCCGGCCCACTACTGAAGACTTCAATTTAAAATTAGTGGGTCGGTGCAGCTACTGGTTAGGTTACAGGAGCCATTGGAATGTCTAACTTTGTAGGGAGGGACCCCCGCCCCTTTTGGCGCTGCGGCCGAGGAGCATAAGAATTGAATGGAGTTTTGTCGGCCCACCACCTCTTCAGGTTGATGTTCCAAATGCTAGTAGCAACTCGGATCTTTTAGGTTGGCCATGGCCTCTATGAACAACCTCAACGATGCGACTCATTACCTGCCGCACCAAGGGTCACTTATTCATTGGCTCTTTCGCTTCAGCAAGACACACGATACAACTCTAGGTATTGCACCACCGTCACAAACAATCGAGAATAAAGACAAGACGACCAAAGCAGTGGGCAACCGCCAATCATGTGCAGGGCAAGCATGATAGCAGCGGATATATGCACCATCTTTCAGCGGCGCGGTCAAGAGCACGGTGACAAGCTTCGGAAGCGACAAAATATAAGTCGTTACACGAATAACGACGGCAGCTCTTCATGGCCGTCTCGCTATGTACGGAATATAGATCCACGGAAGCTCTCATAAGAACAGACTGACCGCTAGAACCGGGTGCGTCTCTACCTCTTTTTGAGCAAGGCCGCGGGCGTGAGGCCGCGGGCGCGGCTAGCCCACGAAGCAAGCAAGAGACAAGGTTTGCGTTTGTTGATGTAATCATGGGGTAAACCAAAGCAGGCTGACGGCAATTGCTAAAAGCACAGTTCGTTGTAATTAGCGGCCACTTTGAGACATTTCGTACGATTTTTCGTAACGAGAGCTTTAGTACGTCAGGCCAAGACTAAGAGGCCTTAGGACTTGCTAGTCTTTTTTCTGAAGGACGCAACAGGCTCCATGGGTTTTCGTCATGGCCAGAAGGAACTCTTCACACTAACTGTACTGCACCTGGTGATGCGCAAGACAACTGAATTGACGCTTGCAGTTGCTCCGAACAGGAAGCCAAAACAAAAAACAATTTGCTCTCGCAAGGGGAGCCAGAACAGGCCGCGGCTTGCCAACACCGCCACCACACACAAGCTGAAATTTATTTCTGGGTTGCGCGAAAGGCAAAAAAAACGAAGAGAACGGTTCTCATGAAATGGGTAAAGAGGCGGCCGACTGGGTGAACCCTGTGACCAACTTCGTGGGATCGTATTCCAATGATGCTATATTGCACCAGTGACTAAATCGATCATTGGCCCGGGCCGGCATAGCTCAATTGCAAAGCATGATAACGAGGATCCACAATTTTGACTTTCGACTTTGCAGCATTTTAAGCGCTCTCGCAAACCCAGGTATTGACAGCCGGTGGACTCTTGGTCCGGCCCGTTCCCTATCTGAGTACATCATGTTGCAAAACCTCCATTGCAAGAACCGCAATATCAACCGAGAATTGCCGTTTGCACCCTCCTACGGCCGGAAGAACGGGCGCAAAGGCTGGGTTATGCAGGAGGCAGCGTCAGTCAGGTTCAAGTTATCGTAAGCCAGGCTTTACAATGACTCACGCTAGATGGGAGCTTAACAAGGACAAGACCCGCAGACCAAGCACGCATCGCTTGACGGGAGACCACTGCTGGCAAGGTTCCAAAGAGTGGTCAAGGACCAAAGCTTCCTGTGGCTCCACACATAATCATCACCACGGCCAAATTTGTTTTGTTAGGGTTGCCATCGGGCGTGTCGAAGCTCACGTGACCCTGCGTGGTCAAACTTATTCAGTCGTCATGGGCCTCAAATC